TACCTTGTGTTTATAATCTATAATCCAAATTGTGCATTATTATTTTATATTATTTTTATACAACCACAATAACAATACCAATATTTAAAAACATGTTGCTCCAGACTCAAGTCTGGTCATCTACGGGCAATGACTTTCCAGAATGGTTGCAGGGTTTTCCCACTATGTACTAAGTGCAATTTTCAGCCTACAACCCCAAGACATATTATTGACTGTATTGACTCATCCATTGATGAGCTCTACTCTTCCCCGGCAGACACCATCAAAAGTCTCAAGCTTTACAAGCTTGATACCTTAGTGTGATTGAGTGGAGATAAGAAAGAAGAAGAAAAACATGTTGCAATATTTATCATTCAGTTACTTTTGTCTGATGATAGTAACAACGCTGTCACACGCAATTTATCAATTTAATCTTGTTACCTTTTTTATACAGTAAAACCTCCATGAGAGGACACTCACACTAGAGGACACCTCTCTATAAAAGGACAGTTTTCATAGGTAAAATTGCATATTTACAATTTAGCAACTCTCCTGTAAGAGGATACCTCTCCCTAAAGGACATTTTGGCTCTGCAATTATGTGTCCATTACAGGGAGGTTGTACTGCATTACAAGGTTCAATAATTTGGGGGTCGGTGGAAGACTGGTTAAACCGTTTGGTTTCCGACCACTACGACCCGGGTTCGATTCCCGCATTGGGCACTTTTTCTGTTTGAAAAAAAAAAATGCTCCAATGGCCCCCGATTCTTGCAAAAGTCCAACCCCACCAGCGAGTGCAAGTAACCAAACGGGGCTCTGGCACATTTGTAAGTGCAAAGTCGAACTGCTTTTCTCATGTGTAAACATGTGGTGCACTTACAGAAAAAGCAGTCGCTAACTACCCACCATGATTATCATGGCCTGTACCACCATGTGTACTAGGGATAAGCAAAAAATAAATAAATAAATAAAAATAATTCAATGAGTAGGATAGAATTGAAATAGGTTGACAGCAGATTAGCTAAATATATATATAGACAGATATAGTTCATGGTTTTACAAAATATAACACTTTTTTTTTCTTTTTTTGCTTATCCCTATACACGTGGTACAGGCCATGATAATCATGGTGGGTAGTTAGCGACTGCTTTTACTGTAAGTGCACCACATGTCTACACATGTGAAAAGCAGTTCGACTTTGCACTTACAAATGTGCCAGAACCCCGTTTGATTACTTGCACTCGCTGGTGGTGTTGGACTTTTGCTAGAATCGGGGGCCATTGGAGCATTTTTTTTTTTTTAAACAGAAAAAAGTGTCCAATGCGGGAATCGAACCCGGGTCGTAGTGGTCGAAAACCAAACGGTTTAACCAGCCTTCCACCAACCCCCAATATAACACTTGACATGTGTAAACAAAAAAAAAATTGTTTCAAAGTTGTTAGGAAAAAATTATAGATTCGTAGAGGAAGAGAAAGATCCTTTATTACCTAAAGGTATAAAAGTATAAAAGAAGGACAAAGAGATTAAACTATATGTACATCAGCAGCTCACGTCGGCCTGCCCTATCCAATAACTGCTAGCTAACTAACATTCCAACAAGGCCGCATTATATAGACAGATATGCCAATTAGCATAAACAATATAATATTCTATGCAAATATCTGCATATCAAATATCGTGGAAATATCTGCAATTGTCAATTTCAACAAAAGTTTTTATCCAAATAGTTTACAGGTTTCAACATCATGGTTGTAAATGCCACCTGATCCCCCTTCAATGGGAACGACATCTGTTCCTTTTTCCCAAGGAGTGTAGCCATAGCAACACTGGGATTGGTGGCAAGTTACCTCCCAGAGATCTCTTTCTCTTCTCCATTCTTCAATGTACAGTTGAACATACTCCATGAGAGGACACTCATGCTAGAGGACACCTCTCTATAAAGGACACTTTCCATTTGCAAAATTACCATTTTTACTGTTTTGCAACTCTCCAGAAGAGGACACACCTCTCCATAAAGGACACTTTGGCTCTACAATTAGGTGGGGGTCGGTGGAAGGCTGGTTAAACCGTTTGGTTTTCGACCACTAGGACCCGGGTTCGATTCCCGCATTGGACACTTTTTTCTGTTTAAAAAAAAAAAAATGCTTCAATGGCCCCCGATTCTTGCAAAAGTCCAACCCCACCAGCGAGTGCAAGTAACCAAACGGGGCTCTGGCATTTGTAAGAGCAAAGTCGAACTGCTTTTCACATGTGTAGACATGTGGTGCGCTTACAGTAAAAAGCAGTCGCTAACTACCCACCATGATTATCATGGCCTGTACCACGTGTACTAGGGATAAGCAAAAAAAAAAAAAAAAAAACAATTAGGTGTCCTTTACAGGGAGGTTCTACTGTATATATATATATATATATATTTTTTGAAAATTAAAAAGGCATATATTGGATCAAAAAATAATTTATTCATCAATATTTCAGTTGGCTGGCATTATTTTTTGATCCAATATACCTTTGGAATAGGTTATACCTTGAAAAAGGTTGGCGTTCAGCCAATTGAAATATAGGTAAATAAATTATTTTTTTATCCAATATGTCTTTTTAATTAAAGATCTATCTATAGATTGCTCTATATTTGAAAAACAAATATATATATATATATATTCAGTAAAACCCCTCTATAGTGAACCCCAATGGGACAGAACTTTTGGTTCACTATAGCTACACAGTTTAGCTTTTTTTTTTTACTTTTAAAAAAATTTTAGACTGTATAATTAAAGGACAGCCATACACACAGGAAAAAGTTGCCTCTTAATAGTGGTTACTTTATTTTAATTTTCTAAATTGACCAATTTCCTTATACAGTCTACTCTCGTTATAACGCCACCCTCGCCTTACGCCGCCTTTTCGTTTTGTCCCAATCGACATCAATGTATTTTTCTCTATATAACGCCACTCCCTCGCTGTTCGCCTTCCGCCGCTGATTTTTCGTATCCCAAGTAGCAAAAACCATTCGTTATAGCGCCGCTCACAACGTCCCTCACCCCCCCGCCTCCCTTTTCCTGTCTGAATTTTTTCCGCCAGCGGCACCGGACTTTGATTGCTGTTGACACAACAGATAACAGATTGTGTGAACAGCCAGCAGACCCTTTTTCTGCTTGTGCCTGGGACATACACAGTCGCTTCATCCTTTGCTAACGTCAACACAACAACTTTATTGTCGTATCATGAGTTCCCAAAAGGGTAAACGTGAGTCGATCACCATTGAAAAGAAGAAGGAGATATGCCAGTTGGCAAGACATAACTCTTACGATGTCGAAGAATGAGATTGGAGAGCGTTTCTCACTTCCACGAACAACTGTCCGTGATATTCTTGCTCAGGCTGAGAAGTGGGAAAATTATACTGTTGGTTCTTCAAAGAGACAAAGAGTCGAAAAATTTAGTGACTTGGAAGACGCTCTCTTCAACTGGTTTACCCAAAAGCGTGCCAATAATATTATTATTACGTATGACCTCTTAAGAGAAAAGGCAAAAAAAACTTGGCGAGCAGTTGGCTGTACCAGAAAATTTCGCGCACAGCAGCGATTTAAAGGGAGATTCCATATTTTGCAAAGACGGCTCTGTGGGGAAGGCGCATCGATTTCTCCAGCTATCATTGATGAACACCTTACAAATTTGAACAGTATGCTGGCAAATCTGGATATGACCCAACCAACATATACAATGCAGACGAAACAGGATTATTTTTTCAGCTCATTCCTGACCGAACACTTGCTCACAAAGATGAAAACTGCCGTGGTGTCAAAAGGATGAAGCAACGAATCACTGTTCTACTGTGCTGCAACTCTACTAGAACAGACAAGCGGCGATTGCTGATTATTGGAAAATCGGCAAAGCCTAGATGCTTCAGAAACTTTAGTCCACACTTCTACTGCACTCACACATCTAACAGCAAAGCATGGATGACCTCTAGCATCTTTCAAGAATGGCTACTGCAGTTCAACAGGCAGCTTGTCCCTGAAGGACGTCGTATCCTACTGTTGTTAGATAACGTCTCACTGCGTGATGGTCTCAGCAACATAAATATACACTTCCTTCCACCAAATATGACTGCCAGTCACTGGATAGTGGCATCATCAAAAGTTTCAAAGCTCAATATCGCAAGCTTCAACTCCAGAAAATGGTGGAATTGGCGGATGCCCATCTACCCACAGAATTACGTCTGGATTACGCTGTGCGGTATTGTAAAATGGCTTGGGATTCTGTGAGCCCTGATTCCATCAGCAACTGCTGGAATCACACAGGCATTCGCTTTACTTCTACTGCTGCAGTTGAGCCTCTTAATTATTAAAATCTGCTTGATCGCATTCGTGACATCTTCGCTATTACACCAGAGAATTTGATGACTGAAAGGGAGTTTCAACTGGTTGATGATTCCCAGGAGGCGGAAATGAAGCTAACAGATGACAATTTGCTAGTGTCCACTGTTACAGCGAAAGAAGAACTTGGCAAGGATGATGATACAACAGTGACCCAGCGCCTACCATCGTTAAGGGAAGCCAGAACAGCTGCTGAGAAAGTTTTGTTGTTTCTTGAGCACTCCAAGAGAGCAACATCCGACGACGTCAATCTATCTGCGGATTTGTTACGCCGTGTCTATGCCATAAGTTAGGGAGAGAAAAGACAAGTTGGGATCACAGACTATTTCAAGAAAATGTAATTACTTTTTATGAATAAATAATAAATTAATGCTTTCTATTTATCATATTAATTAATTAATGCCGGTTTTGCATTTCTTAGAGTATAAATTGTTATTAGTAATTGTTATAAATAATTTATTGTATCTTTAAATTTCACATTTTAAACGTCTGTGTTCGATACAACGCCACCCTCGCCTTACGCCGCTTTTTTGCAAAATCCGGATGGTGGCGTTATAACGAGAGTAGACTGTATTACTGCTGAATAATAAAAGAAGTCTTATTAAAAAAAAAAGATTCTCCTGCCCAGGATCGAGCCATTTTTGAACAAGTTTCTGTGGTGTAGCGGTTATCATGTGTGCTTCACATGCACACAAGGTCCCTGGTTTGATCCTGGGTGGGAACATCTTTTTTTTTTTTTAATAAGACTTCTTTTATCATTCATAAAAGAAGTCATTTGATGATAGGCTCTTCATATTTGGGCTAGCTATTTCAATACTCCTGTGAATGGTCCGGTCAAAAAAACCAAGATGCTTGTTCCAGATCAAAGGACACCAAAATTAACACAACTTGTGCATGATGAAAAAAACATGTTTGTGGAGAGCATTTATCTTTAGCTTTAAATGGCTATAGGATTCCTTAAGCTGCATGGTCAAAAATATTTATATAGATTTAATTATAATTTCAAATCTATTTTTCAAAACTTATGTGAACATTTACATTTTTAAATGATTTGGAAATAAAAAAAACATTGAAACATTTGTTTTAAATTAGAAAATGGGTTAATTATATAATGTAGACAGCATTTGGGACTACGTGCACTTCAGATGTCTTATATACATCCACTGGTAGGATTCTGGGGCCCTTATTGTAGCAAAACCTCTCAACCCATCTAAGGAATCAGAGCAACCCCTTTTGTAAATTCAAAAATAGCTTTTTTTTTTTTAATATTATTATCTCTAGTACACGTGGTACAGGCAATGATAATCATGGTGGGAGGGTATTAAGTGACTTTCTTTTTTACTTTAAGTGCTACACATGTTTACATATTTAATTAAAAAGGCATATATTGGGGATCAAAATATCATTTATTTTACCAATATTTCAGTTGGCTGAACGCCAACTTTTATCAAGGTGTTATAACATTTTAAAGTGTGTCTTTAAATGTTATAATACCTTGATAAAGGTTGGCGTCCAGCCAACTGAAATATTGGTAAAATAAATGATATTTTGATCCAATATATGCCTTTTTAATTAAAGATTTATTTATGGATTGCTCTATTTTCAAAATGTTTACATATGTAAAAAGCAGTTTGACTTTTGCACTTACAAGTGTATGACACTGACCCTGTTTAATTACTTGAACTCGCTGGTGAGGTCAGACTTTTGCAAGAATCAGGGGCCTGTGGAGCATTTAATTAGAAAAAAATGCCAATGCGCGGGATTCGATCCCAGGTCATAGTGGTTGAAAGTCAACAGTTTGAACCACCCTTCCAATGACCCCCATGAAAATAAATTGATCTGATCAAATTCCAATGAAAGACCACCTCCATGAGTTACTATAATATCATGTTAAAAGCAGTTTAACTATAAGGGTGTCCCAAAAGTTCGTGTTCTTGGCGAATAATATTATTACGGCGAATACATAATACACAAACATTATACATATGTCATAATTTGTGTATAATTAAATGCAACCCCGACCCACTATGTATGTACCATGTATGATTTTCAAAGACTTAATAAAGAACAAGGTAACTGGAGGGAAGCAAGTAACATTAAGATATAGAAAGTAGATCTAAAATTGGCACGACTATTCTGGGCACCCTGTGTCAATATTGTAAGGGCAGAGACCGGGCGTCTCTAGTGACCGCAGAAGTTATTTTCGCCAAGATGCATTCAATACTTCCGGACAAAACAGGACGTGTCGAGTGACCAGAAGTTATAAAAGTTTGAGAGATATCCAATGCTTCCGGACAGAGACCGGACGTAGTTTGATAGCCACGGAAGTAAATAAGGTCAAGCAAACACGAGGCTTCTTGACCCAAGCCGGGCGTAACTAATATCAAAGGAAGCCGCCGGCCTATCAGAAGATAGCACCTTAAGTAGGTCAACCAATAGAAAAAGAGCATGTGACATCTCTCAACCAATCATAAGACCGCACCTTAAGTAGGTCAACCAATAGGACAAGATCATGTGACATCTCTCGACCAACCAGAGAGACACTGAGGCTTGGTGTTAAATCGAAAGGCAAGGATGGTCAGTAGTTTCTTAGCCCTCATAGGAACAACACCTGCAGTAGCGACTTGGCTCTCACCGAGTTCGGAGTTACGCTTTGGCTCCCACGGAGGTGACATCGGCTTTAGACCTCTCTCCCTCGGCTCATCCCACAGCTAAGTACAATCACCGCCATGTGATCAGTTAATTAACAATCAAAATCGCTCCGCCTTCTCAAGCTTTCTTCCCTCCAATCCAGTTGCCTTTTATTTTCAAACCTCACCATGTGTCCTGATTATTCCTAACTGTGTGCTTCACTTACCACTCAACGACTGCGCTTCAATCAAATATCACCATTCGCATCCAACAACAAGAAACCCCACAACGATATTGCCACAGAACGGTTAAGTCGACAGATTCTACAAAAGTGTAATACTTCAAATATTATAGTGTAATAACAATTGCATCATCATATTACACAGAGTCGACAGGATAAAGATTATGGAACTTAATCAGGATAAAGATTATGGAACTTAATCAGGATGAAGATGGAAATTAACCCAGGCGCCAGCATAACAAAAGGCAATGACAACCCAAGAGAGAAGAAACTGGCAACGAACGGAAAGAAACTGACAACGAACGAAGCGACAAGATATACCCTGGCGACGGTAATTTTAGATCTGACCGCCGCGCTACAAGGGGCGAGATCCCCGCAACTGAAAGCGGTCTTCCGGAGCGCCACCCTCGGGACAACCGCCGCCTGCACCGCCGGTACGTGTCCGAACAACCTGACGCCCACCGAGTTATCGCCATCCGCCATGCCGTACCCGTACACACGGAAGCAACCCACGCGACACGGACCCAGTGTACCGACAACGCGATCCACTCGAATGGAAGCAGTACAAATGACTAGATTTCCCTTTCAATCGCGCGGACAGTTCAAAAGGTCCCGATCCGGTTCAACAGATATTCCAAGCCAGCCACACCAAGCCGAAGACGCCACAATGGAGACTTTTCGAGACTAAGGTAGGCAATCCACCCAATGACACCATCAAATTAACTTTGGACTTGTATCTGACCCAGGACCTACCATGTACCTTTCTCATTGAACCAGACGCAGGTTCGAACATATTGCCGTATCATTTATACAATAGATTAAAAGCACAACTTCCCAACTTAAGTATTAAAAAACCTTCCCTTGATCTATCCACCATAAATAGTTTTACGAAAATAATAGGACATTTAACTTTCCCTCTGACAATAGGCCAAATAACCCGTAGAGAGAACTTCCACGTGGTAAATGCATCCTTGCCATTTGGAATTCTTACCTTAGAAACCCTTTATCAATATAAATTAAAACTAAATTATAATCGCGGCACTATTTTCCAACTTGGCGTCCCATTGTCTAATACTACCTACCACTTTAAACATGTGTCAAATGAATGCAAGCACGGGCTAGACCAAAACCTGTCCCAAAGGACTCGCACAGCACCCAAAGCTTTCACACATGGAAACCATTGCCTGCATTCATTGCCCAAACCCCAAATATTTACATGCCACCATTCTAATCTCACACCACACAACTTTTCGCTCAACCCAATTGCCAATACTTTATGCCCACCACATATAAAACCACCACGACTTCAATCTACAACTCCAATAATGCCCAAACAAGTGTCCGTACACCAACACAGCTCACCCACTTACCACACAAAATCCACACATGACCGTACTTCGCAACACCATAAACACGCAAATGTACCTCACAACATACACGCACCCATACGTCACCACGCGACAAACACACACAACCCGCACAACAAACGCAACACGCACGCCAAAAGACAACAACAACGACAAACAAGCGCACGCACAACCGTTAAGAATAATACAATCATCCCGTCTACACAAAATGTAGAAAAAATTCACGACACCAAACAACCACACAATCGAAAAACCTTGCGATCTTTCCTAAAAGCTGTGAACACCTATAAAGAGTTCATTCCAGACCACGCCCGCTTGCGGACGCCACTTATCAACCTTCTAAAAAAGGATATCATGTGGGTCTGGGATGACGAATGTCAGAAAGCGTTCACTAACCTGAAGGAAAACCTTACCACACACCCCACATTACACCTTTACCAGGAAGGTCTGCCATGCCAGGTGTACTGTAAAACCTCAACACTCAGCATTACAGGCGTTCTTAAACAAGTCTACCCTGATGGGAAGACATACAACGTTCAACATTTCAGCCGATCTCTGCGTGGTCACGAGCGAAATTATTCAGACTTGGAGTTACAATGCCTAGCCATTGTGGAAAGTGTGGATAATTTCCGCACCTGTCTAATGGACAGAAAGTTTACAATATTTTCTGACCATCCCGCATTGCAGTGGTTGAAAGAGATCAAAGCTCCGTCAGGCAGATTGTTTCGATGGAGATTAAGATTGTCAAGATACGAATATGAGGTCCGTAGCATAAATGGAGTACAACAATATGAAACGGGCGTTGTAGCTCGTATCCCATTTTGTGGCTTTCTAGATGCGCCACTCATAAAAAGCCAACAGTCTTCTCCACCGGGAAAATCCCGCGTGACTATGGATCCCAATAAACTGCGCACCGTCTCCCGAAAAGGAGTACTTAAAACTATAGTCCCAAATTCATTTACAACCAGACTTCTTAAGTCCGTACACACACAACACCACCACCCAAACATCTCCAAGATGACGAGACTCATCTCAGCACAATATTATTGGCAGAACATGACACAAGACATCGCAAAACAGGTAAAAACCTGCCCCACCTGCCGATTCGCTAGAAGAATCGATGAATACAAACAACCTGCACGTAAAAATACCGACACAGGTACCCAAACAAAACAAAATTCGTACATAAAGCACAGCGTACACACAACACAAACAATGCCAAAATTACCACATCCACGTCAGAGAAACGATCTCACGTCTCAACCTAAACCAATTACCACCGACATATCTCTAATAAAACCATTGACGATCAAGCAGGAGAACTGTAAACCTGACAACCAATCCAATCATATCACACCACTCCCTAAAGATATCAAACAGGAGAACTGCGAACCTACCAATCATTTAAATTCTATAATTAATAAGGTTCAAGCAAATAGTTCAGAGTCCCCAGTTACAAAAATGTGGACGAACATGGGGCAATAT